GATGTATATTGTTGTTCTGTCAACATGGATGTCTGTGTGAGGGAGTCTGATCCCCTGCAACAGGGGTTACAGACAGTTGTGAGCTGCCTGCCATGTGGGTGCTGAAAATCAAGCCTGGGCCCTCTGGAAGAGTAACTGCTCTTAACTGCTGAGCCATCTCTCCAGCCCTGGTTCATCTGAAGGAGCTTCATGGCCTTGATTTTAATCACAAGACATTCCACAAACACAGAATTCTTGTACGATAAGTACTGAGAAGTTCATGGGTCATGCAACACACAGATCAGAACAGAGGCTCTGGTAAAAGAAACTTGACTTATTTTAAAGATAACTTTTGTGTAGCAATCAATAGCAAGGCTTCTGCAGAGATGCTCGGGGTGCAGACCATTGCAGATTGTTCCCCTGGAGCTGCAAAGTTTCCTCACATCCTCAAATGTCTCTCTGGTTGTCCGGAGCAACTCAGTATACCAACACACTGTGGCGTGCACACACACACGTACTAGTACACACGGCAAGGACTACCCTGAATTTACTTGTCATATTCTCCCTCTGCCTGGCATCTAGTGCAGCTTACTAACTAAACATTAGCTGCTGACTCTCCTGATAGAGTCCCACAGGCAGCAGGGGAGACGACTTGGTCGGTAAATCCCCTGCACCCACATGCCAGTAACACCAGCACTGGAGAGGTGCCAGAGGAACCCACTGTTTAGTCAAATCGGTAAGCTATGCTTTCCTTAAGAGACCTTGTATCAACAAATTAAAGGGAGACAGGTGTGGCCAGTCTTTGATTTTTAGTTCCACCACTGGGAGGAAGAGGCAGGTGGATCTCTGTGAGTTTGAGACCAGCCTGGTCTATACAGCAAGCTTCAGGAAACCCCATCTCAGAGACACAGACACAGACACAGACACAGACACACACACAGACACACACACACACACACACACACACAGAGAGAGAGAGAGAGAGAGAGAGAGAGAGAGAGAGAGAGGGAGGGAGGGAGGGAGGGAGGGAGGGAGAGAGAGAGATAGATCATGACCTCATACTTTGTACCATATACCAAGTCTGAGAGTTGCAAAGTCCTTCTGAAATTGCATGCCTACTCCTTCACATCTCTGCAATTCTCTTTTTAGGCATGAATGACAACACAGGAAGCTAGCTACCTGTCCTGTGTGTACATCATAGTTAGGATCCCACATGTTGATGAGGGTCATTCAAAAGGGAAGGTCCTTTACCAAGCCCCTCCCAGATTTTTGTCTTATTTTTTGTGTATGTGTATGGATATTGTGTGTATATGCACATGCAGGTATCTGCACGTGTGTGCTTGTGCACGTGTGTGCATGTTTGTGGAGTCGAGGTCGATTTCAATTTCTCTTTTTCAGTTGCTCTTTATCTTTTAGTATTTATTTTAATTTTGTTTTATTTGTATTGTTTTTTATCTTACTACCACCTGTTTTTCAGTTCCCCTTTTGAGACAGTCTCTCACACTGAGCCCAGAGGTCACCTGATTGGTTAGACTGACTAGCCAGGGAGTTCCAGGGATCCCCTATTTCTGTCCCTGGCTGGTAATGGGGGCTGGAAATCCGAACTCAGGTTCTCATGCTTGCACAGCACATTCTTCACCCACAGAGCCATCTCTCCATCCCCTTACATTTTTACTAAAATATTTACATGTGCATAAGAAGAACTAATGAAGGACAAATTTTAAAAAAGCAACTCTATGGAAATGGCCAAATGTGTGGACATGAATAAGGAAAACCACAACACTTCCAGCAGTGCTGGTGATCAGGAGAAATGTCTGGGAGTACATTCGAACAGCAGCTCCTGATAGACCCTAGCCAGGGAATGTAATCAATTACATTTGCGTTATTGACTGTATGCTGGCATGCATAGGCACCAAGTGTGTGGAGGTCAGAGGACAACTTGCAGGAACTGGCTCTCTCCTTCCACCACCTGGCTCTGGGGAATGGGTCCTCAGACCCAGCAGCCAGTGGCTTTATTCACCAAACCCAGTCATTAATTTAGACTCTTGTCATAAGCGGTCAGATACTAGTCCAGAAATCATGACCTCTTAGGTTTCAAATATTGCACAGTTAATGTTCACTGAGTTAGCTAGAGAGTCCTCTTCTGTTGAGAGGCGTTTCCTCTCCTCTGATGGGTCCTTTCCCATACTCTCCCCCACTGTGACTAAAAAATGCATATATTACAAACCACAAGCTAAAATCTGCATGTGATGGGGTGGGAAGCTCAGTGGTTAAGAGCAGTTGCTACTTCTGCTAAGGACATGGGCTCTGCTCCCAGCCCCCACACCTCTAACTCCAGGACCAGGGCATTCATTGCGCAAGTCTGACCTCTGCAGGAGGCAAGCACACAGGTGAATGGTGAATGTACACACTTGTAGGCAAAGCACACATCCACCTCCCAGAAAAACAAGTCATTAAAAGAATTCTCTAAAATCCACAGAGGACAGAATATGTGGCATTTGTTTCTGAACCCAAGTTGAACAGCTTCAAATACCTTCCAGGTGCCTCCATGCTCCCGCATGGTGTAGGAGGTTCTTCTATGTGTTGCTTTCATTGGATGAATAAAGAAACTGCCTTGGCCTTTAGATAGGGCAGCACGTAGGTAGGCGGAGTAGACAAAACTGAATTCTGGGAAGAAGAAAGCAGAGCAGAGAGCAGCCATGGAGCTGCCAGGTCAGACATTCTTTCCCAGTAAGCTATGACCTCGTGGTGACAGATTATTAGAAAGGGGTTGAATCAAGATGTGAGAGTTAGCTTATAAGAGGCTAGAACTAATGGGCCAGGCAGTGTTTAAATGAATACAGTTTGTGTGTGACTATTTTGGATGCAAGCTAACTGGGCGGCTGGGACAAGCAGCCCACTGACCAAAAGTAGGCCCTCCCTCCTTCAGCACCCACAGATTACATTTTAGTTTTCTTTCTTTCTTTTTTTTTTTTTTTTTTTTTTTTGGTTTTTCAAGACAGGGTTTCTCTGTGGCTTTGGAGCCTGTCCTGGAACTAGCTCTGTAGACCAGGCTAGTCTCGAACTCACAGAGATCCTCCTGCCTCTGCCTCCCGAATGCTGGGATTAAAGGCGTGCGCCACCACCGCCCGGTTTGTTTTTTGTTATTTTGTTTTGTTTTTTTTTTTTGATTTTTCGAGACAGGATTTCTCCATAGCTTTTTGGTTCCTGTCTTGGAACTAACTCTTGTAGAACAGACTGGCCTCGAACTCACAGAGATCCGCCTGTCTCTGCCTCCCAGAGTGCTGGGATTAAAGGCCTGCGTCACCACCGCCCTTTAGTTTTCTTTACAACCAATTAATGTCCCACTGTGTACATAGTCCCCACTTCCACTCTGCAGCTGCTGGCCTTTGGTTCCATTTCTGAGCCTTCGTGAACAGAGCAGCAGTGAGCATGGATATAAAGTCCTTTGGTAATATATAGAAAATTCTGTAAATCTGAGCCAGCCTCCTCAGGGCAGGGATCACAAGTGTGCAACACTATACTCAGCTTTTAAATCTTTATGTGTGTGGGTGTTTTGCTTGCATGTATGTCTGTGGACTGTCACACCTAGCTTTTTATGTTAATTCTAAAAATGAACTCAGGTCCTTACATTTGCATGGCAAGTATCTTACTGAGCTTTCTCCATCCCACTAAAGTTGTATTGTTTCTACATCCATCTTTTTTTTTTAATAAAAAACTAGCTCTAGGTTTTAAGAAAGTGTTTTCTGACTCTATATTGCAAGCCCCAAGTCCCTGCATTGTGCACGCTTGATGATTTGACTGTGGTGGCATGTAAGGACATCACGAGATTAACACTGGAAATAGTGTCTGAGGCTGAAGACAAAGACAGCTCAGCAGTCAGGAGCTCTTCATGGGGGCTGAAGAGACGGTTTGGAGGTGAAGAGTCCTGGTTGCTCTTTCAGAGTTCAATTCCCAGCAACCGCACAGTGGCTCACAACCATCTGTAATGAGATTGGGTGCCCTCTTCTGGCCTGCAGGCATACATGCAGACAGAACGCTGTGTACATAATAAAAAATAAATCTCGAAACAAGACAAAATGCTTTATACCCTTGCATAAGATCTGAATTTAGTTCCTTGTATCCATTCTGGATGTCTAACAATGCCTTTAATTCCAGCTGCAGCAGACTGGACGCCCACTCTAGGAAACCCTGGGCACACGTGAGTGCGCACACAAGCCACCACGTGTCATCTCTACAGCTCCCTCCATTTTTTGACACCTTCTTTGAGAACACATGGTGTACTCTGGGAGCGGACAGCTGGAGAAGTCTAACTTTCAGTAAGATCTCACTGTGGTAAGATTGCAATTCTTAAGATAACTAAAATTTCCTACATTAAGAAAATAGGGTGAGATGGATCAGCCAGTAATATCACTGATGACTAGTCGGATTCCTGGGGGTCCTGCAACTTGGACACACACACACACACACACACACACTGGAAGACGGTGCTGGCTGTGGCAGCATGCTCCTGTTTACCAGCACTCTGACACCCCAGATTGACAGCCCCTTCCTCACACTGTCGCCACAGCTCGTGCAAGTTAAGTTGCCAGCAAAGTACGAGGGAAGCAGCCAAGGATTCCAGAACGGCTAGTTCAGGGATGCCCACCCTACGTGATTCCACTCAGAAAATCCATCTGACTCACACAGCACCAACTCGTTTGCAGTGCTGGGGTTCTGAGTCCAGGACACTAAGCCCCTGAATGGCTCCCAATTGTCAAAGCAACATCCACGAACAAACAGATCCGCAGTGGCAGTGTGGGAGCCGGGGCTGCTTCTCCGAGACACCATTACAGCGCCATGAGAACATTCCCCAGAAACATGCGGGGCTGGAGAGAGGACTCAGCTTCTCTGTCCCCTAAGATCAGCTCGAGGGGATCCAGTGCTCTCTTCTGGGCTCCACAGGCAGCTGACACATGTGCACACACCTCCCTCCCACGACATGACAAGCATAAAAGCGGCACTATTTTAGCACAGAGGACCGAGTAAATTTTGTGCTGGAAAAAGACATTTTTATTAGAAAACAAATGACCAAGTACAGCCACACCTGAACAGTCGAGGACTATGGCAAAAATCTGGACATTAACAAAATCAGATTTTACTGGTCCAATAATTACCAAAGTAAAGCACTTAAAAATTATGTATAACTAAACAAAAAGCAGCAACAGAATTATGACTAAGAATCAGAAATCCACAGTATACGGACACCAGCGGGTTTTTTTTTTTTTTTTTTTTTTTTTGGTTTTTCGAGACAGGGTTTCTCTATGGTTTTGGAGCCTGTCCTGGAACTAGCTCTTGTAGACCAGGCTGGTCTCAAACTCACAGAGATCCGCCTGCCTCTGCCTCCCGAGTGTACCAGCGGGTTTTATACTTCTTAGGTTGATGAGATTTGGGGGCTTGAACATGTTAACATTGCAGGAGTCCAAGTGTTCCTCCGTGTACAGTCTGGGTCTGTGGTGGAGCCTAGTGAGACTTCCCCACACTGAAATTCAGGGTAAAATGGTCCCCATACTGCTAACAGTGATAGACTTTCTCTCCACTGTCATCCCATGTATCCATCAAGAATGAGCAAAAAGCTTTCCCAGGTCAGTATCCATCTCCAGTTAAGTCCTCAGTGCTCAAAAGCTTCCCAACACGCTTTCAACTCATAGGCTTTGGCACAAGCTGTGGCCCATCTCACCGAAACCAATGCAGACTCACTGCGCTCACAGGCTCATTTTGAACATGAGCTTGAGCGTGTGGAGTTCTTCTTCTTCTTATACTCGACCTCTAACTCACTTAAAGCTTCCCGCCAATCGACTGTGTACATTCATGTGTTTTCGAAGACTCTTGGAGTATGAGAACGCCTTACCACACTCTTCACATTTGTAGGGCTGCCCGTGTGTTCTCTTGTGATTCTGAAGGTAACTGGCACAGCTGAAGGTTTTCCCACACTCCTTACATTCATACGGCTTCTCCCCCGTGTGAGTGGTCAAATGGTTTCGTAAGGAAGCACGATATTTAAAGGTTTTCCCACACTGCGTACATTCATAAAGTTTCTCTTCGGCATGGCTTTTTTCATGATTCCGAAGGGAATAGACATACGGATAAGCTTTCCCACACACCTCACACTTGTAAGGCCAGGCTCCACTGTGAGTCCCTAAATGTCTTCTTGCACAATGCCCAGAAGTGAAGGTCTTCCCACACTGCTTACATTCATAGGGCTTCTCTCCAGTGTGAGTTCTCTTATGTGCTTTAACATGGCTGGAATGTCTGAAGGTTTTCCCACACTGCTTACATTCATAAGGTTTCTCCCCAGTGTGAATCCTTTCGTGGAGTCTAAAGGAACAATAATTCTTGAAGGTTTTCCTGCAGTATTTACATTCATAAAGTTTTTCTGTTGTATGAAGCCTTTTATGCAACTCGAGGGAACTGGAAGTCCAGAACATTCTCCCACAATCCTCACATTCAGGCATCTCTCCAGAGTGAATTTTTCTATGACTCCGAAGGGTATCGGCATTAGGAAATATTTCCCCGCACAGCTTGCATTTATGCCTGTCTGCACTATGAGTCAGCATATGCCTTTCTGCACAGAAGTGATAACTAAAGGTTCTCTCACAATGCAGACATCTGTAAGGTTTCTCTCTGCTGTGGACCTTTTTATGATTTTTAAGGGAGCTGGGACAGGTAAAGACTTTACCACATGCTCTACACTCACAGTATTTCTTTACATATGTCTGATAGTCACATGGTTTGTTTTGAGGGTTGAATGCAGCAGGTCTCTTTAGGGATGACTGACATTCAGGAAGCTTTGGTCCAGGCATTTTCTTGCTTGTGATACCGACTGGATCTTGAGCTGGGGTTTCTCTGCCTTGGTCACTGTCTCTAAGTTCACGGTCTCTCTTTACCATCTGGATTCTGTAAGAATTAAGAAATATAATCTTAAGAGTTTGCTTATTAACAATTTTATACTTATTAGTAGATATAAGATTTATACTGGGAACATTCACAAGGTATGTTAGGCATTTATGCCCCACACTGTGGGCAGACAAGGAAGTCCTGGAGTAAATGTGTAAAGAGACAAAACCCCGAATGAATGCACATTGCTGACACGGGCACAGCGTGGTAAAGCCTTCCTCCAGGCTGCGTGCTAACACTGACAGTGTGTTCAAGTATTACAGACGCCTGGCCGGTGTGTGCAAAGACTAGCAAGGCAGCTTCCCCACCCCCGAGACTGCTGCCTACAGACACCTCCTGCAGAGTCAGTTTCCATGTGCTGCACACTGCCCATCTGACCCCAGCCTCCACGTAAGTGGATTCAAGGTCTGAAAGCTGGCTGGACCAAAGCTCCTTGTTATTTTTAAAGATTTTGTTATTACTTTTTAAAAGTTCTTTTATGTTTTATATATTTTAATAATTTACTTAACTTTATGTACATTGCAGAAGGTATCAGATCCCCTGGAACTGGAGTTACAGACAGTTTTAAGCTGTCATGTGGGTGTTGGGAATTGAACCCGAGTCCTCTAGAAAAACAGCTGGTGCTCTTAACCCAAGCTCTCTCTCCGGCCCCCTTAGTTGTTTGTTTCGAATGATGTGCACGTGGTCACTGAATGAGAACGGCCTCCTCAGGCTCACATGTCTGAACGCTCTGGCCCCAGCTGGAAGGTCTTAACACTGCTTTTACATAAACTGTTTTGCCAACCTCAGATATCCACAGCACATAAAGGTATTCATTTTCAGAGCGTACGAAGATTGCTTTTAGAATAAATAGTTTGAATTTGTGCTATCCAATGATCCACAGCTATTTGTGGGTGTCCAATACCTCAGGTTTCTCTTCAGACTTCTGTAGTAAGTGTCCAAATCCCACTGTTCCCATTCTGTTCCTAAAATACAGACACAGAATAATTTAAAAAAAAAGTATAAAGTGATTATTAGATGCTTACTTAGGGCATGAGCCCAAGCCTGACTGAGCATGTGCACCCAGCACTCAGCAATGCCATGCTCACCTAGAGAAGTCAGGTTCCTGTAGGTTTCCTGCATCACATCTCTGTAGAGATTCTTCTGGAAAATGTCCAGCAAGGCCCACTCTTCCTGGGTAAAGTACACAGCCACATCCTCAAAGGTTATCGAATCCTGAAACATATGGGAATACATTACCACAAATAAGGATACCAGCAGCTGCTGGTATTTATTGTTCATTGATACCAGGCTGAGAGGATAATGCTTCAGTCAGTTCCAGGACTTGGTAATGAGAACTCTCATCTACACGTCTTCCTACACTGCAACTGTAATTTCATGCAACAAATAGTGTTCTAGTGTGATTTCTGTTGCTGTGATGAAACACTCTGACCAAAAGAAGCTTAGGTGAAGAAAGAAAGTGTGATGGTTTGAATGAGAACGCCTCCACTGGTTCACATATTTCAATGCTTGGTTCCCAGTCGGTGGAACTTTTTAAGAAAGGATTTGGAGGTGTCACTGGGGGTGGGCTTTTAAAGCCCATGCATGCCATTCCCAATGTGCTCTGCTTCCTGTTTGTGGGTCAGATATAAGCTCTTATCTACAACTCCAGTACTATGTCTGCCTGCCTGCCACCATGTTCCCTGCAATAATGATCAAGGACTCATCCTATGAAACTGTAAGCAAGCTCTTAATTAAATGTTTTCTTTTCTAAGTTGCCTTGGTCATAGTGTCCCTTCACAGCAACAGAAAAGTTAACTGAGATAAGAGTTTACTTGGCTTATACTTCCGGGTTATAGTCCATCATCGAGGGTAGCCAGGGCACAGATTCAAGTGGGAATTGAGGACAGAAACTATGGGGAAACACTGCCAGCTCACGTGAAGCCTCTTACTCAGCTAGTTTTGTTTTTTTTTTTAAATAGACAGCCCAGGACCGTCTGTCCAGGCAATGTTGTTGCTGACACTGAGCTGCATTGTACTTTAATCAATCTACAATCAAGACAATTTTCTTCACAGAGAAGACCACGTCAGTCTGGTGGGCAATCCTTCAACTGAGACTCCCTCTCAGATGACTCTAGGCTGGTCAAGTTGACAATCACAGCTAATTAGGACAGATAAACAGAAGGAGCAGCCTTTCATTTGTAAGCGCAGACAATAGTGTGTATAACTCCAAACAAAAATTATTTGTAGCTGGGCAAGGTGGTGCACACCTTTAAATCCAGCCACAGCACTCCAGAGGCAGAGACAGGAAGGATCTCTGTGGGTTCAAGGCCAGCCTGGTCTACAGAGGAGTTCCAGGATGGGCTCCAAAGCTCCACAGAGAAACCCTCAAAAATATCAAAAAACAAAAGACAGTTAAAATTAAAAATGAAAGTGATTAGGAAAAAAAAAAAAACGGGGATTAAGAAAAGTCGAAACCCGAAGATACACGGAGTGTTTAGTGTCTCTCTTGCTGAGTTTTTCCCTCCTCTGTGTGGTATTTTGCTCCGCTACCTACAGCTCCAATTTCCTCTGCTCTTAACCCCTCTCCATGAAGTGCAGTTCCTCAGGAAGAAAACTTCCCTGCTTCACTTCATCTCTCACTAAAGTTGTTGTTGGTGTGTGTGTGTGTGTGTGTGTTGTGTGTTCGCATCCTCCATAGGATGCAAGTCTCTGATACATTGTGCCCAGGAGACAGACAGGAGACAACATGAGGTGACTTTCTCTTCCCAGCTGAGGGAAATGCCTGATCCTAACAAGACAGGAAATTTACACCTGCTTTATTTAAGCGTTAAGGGTCTTTAGCAGGTCTGTGTACTCAGAATGGACCAGGTGCTCCCTTACACTGTCTCTTTAGCCCACACACTTTGTAGACCAGCCAGCTGGCCTTGAAATAATTGAGATTCACCTGCCTCTACCTCCCAGCTGCTGGGATTAAAGGCGGGTGCCACCACCGCCCAGCTCTTCAGGAAGAACAGTTGGTGTTCTTAACCTCTGAGCCATCCCTCCAGCCCGATAAAGTGTGTCTTACTGGGGGTAAATATGTATTGTAGAAGACTGACTTATTCAGAGACGTTAAAGAAACTGACATCTTAGAATTTAGAAACCAACCAAATAACACGCCTGCAACTTCTGAGATATGAGCAGGAGAAGACATACTGTGATGCTCACACATCCTCCTGAAGATTATGGACAAATGGTACTCAGAGCATGGTGTTAGTCACCAGATTCTGGAAGAAAAACAGAGACCCCGGGCCCTGATGAGACAGAGCAAGACTTCGTTTCCCATCTTGCAGGAATGGTTACTGTCCAGCAGCTGGCCTGAGAATGCTGACGCTGCATGCCACAGGGCCATCCGTCCTTCTCATGTCTGCTTCTGTCCTTACACTGGGCCTGCACACACTGAAGGGTCACCTCTGGCTGTGGCCTTGAGGGCTGGTGGAACCTCAACTACTGGCAATCATTCAACAAAAGAAAGAAACGATAAACAGTCCAGTCCAACTTTATGTCAAAAGTTTATTGTTTACTGCTTTTCTTTCAGGGTTTCTCTGTAGCTTTGGAGCCTGTCCTGGTACTCTCTCGGTAGATCAGGCTGGCCTTGAACTCAGAGATCCAAGATTAAAGGCGTGTGCCACCACTACCTGGCTTGTTGCTACTGCTTTAAAAAGAGCTTAAAAAAAAAAACCCACATTGTTTCTTCTTGCTTTTATTATATGGATATTTTGTTTTCTGCCAAAATAAAAATTTATGCCCTTATAAATATTGAAAACTGACAATTCTCCTGTATACACTGCCAAATCTTTTCAGGAATTTTGCCAACTTTTTGATACAACCCACATCATAGGTATTCCACATAACCCTTGCGTCAATCTTGTGGAAAGAACTAAGACAACTTAAACATTATTTAAAAATAAAGAGGGGGCATAAGGTATCATGGCTACTCCTCATAATATTTTCTTTTCTTTTTAAAAAATATAGTTTATTTTTATTTAATGTTCATTGGTATTTCCCTGCATGTAAGTCAGTGTGAGGGTTTCAGAAGCCCTGAAACTTGAGTTCCTTATTGGAAGGAGTTTGGGAATTGGGGGGAGACCCCACACTGAGGTTAGCGAGAGAGAGAGAGAGAGAGAGAGAGAGAGAGAGAGAGAGAGAGAGAAGGAATTGGGGGAGAGCCCACACTAGACAGATGAGAGTGTGTGTGCATGGTATATATTCCCTGTCCTGACAGAGGCCAGAAGAAGACATTGCACACCTTGGAACTGGAGTAACAGATGGTTATGTAGGTGCAAGGAACCAAACTTGAGTTCTCTGCAGGAGCAGCAAGAGTTTTTAAGTACTGAACCATGTCTCCTTTTATATATATGAATGTTTGCCTCTTTCTCTGTGTGTGTGTGTGTGTGTGTGTGTGTGTGCGCGCGCGCGCGCGCGCGCGCACGCATGCCTGGTGACCCCTGAGGCCAAAGGACCAAGACCCTGAGTTCTTTGGCGAGACCCAAAAACATTCTGCAGCAATGAGGCCATTCTTGCCCAAATTTGCTGCACAAAACCTAGCAAAGAATTTTGGTCTCTAATTAAACTTCTAAACTATAGTCCAAGGAATGTCTCTGGGAGGTTTGATATTGGTTATCTGGGAAGCATTACAGCCTTGAGATTGACTTGCTACTCTATGTCTGCTTACCCTAAAATTAAAAAACAAGAAAGGGTGACTTGTAGGGAAGCCTGGAGGTAGCCTGTCCTAGCTGCTCTGAGGAATGCATCATAGGTTTTCCAGGTTAGAGTCCACGGCTCCTGGGGCACCTTGTGCCTCTCAGTTCCTCCCTCAGGCAGTGAAGCTCTCAGACTGCCTTGTGCTTCTCTGTGTGATCCCTTAGAAATCAGGGAAGCACCGGAGCTTTCCGGACAATTGTCTTAGACATTCATCTTGTGTAATCTATAAACTCTGCAAACATCACTGTATCCTGGCAACTACAACTGTACTGATCCTGGCAATGGCCACTATATTCTCTTTCTGATAAAGGTATAAAAAGTCTGATTGCTCTCAGCAAAACTGTCACAGCCCCAGTCTTCCTGGCTGCTGTATCAGAGTAAGCGTGGGTGCTTACAAGAGGACAACCCACTGGGAGCAGTTCTGCCCTTCTACCAAGTGGGTCTCAGGTCACAAGACTTGGCAGCAAGCACCTTCACCTGCTGAGCCATCCAGCTGGGGCTTACCATCTCCTCAGCACTGGACCAAATGCAGCGCTGCTGTCTGCAGTGCCGAAGGAGCGAATAAGCATTCCAAGATGGTCTGTGAGCAGCCAGTTCACAAGGTTCGACCTCTCCTGGTATCTAGGATCTGGATTTGGGAAGGGATCCCACCAACTTAAATAACAAGAGAATCACACCAGGGGCCTGGCCGGACTGTTCAATGGGCCCAAGTTCTTGCTGGGCAAATCTGTGACCCGAGCCTGAGCCCTGGAGAGAACCAACTCCTCTAAGTTATTCTTTTATGTACACATGTCTGATGGCATGTGTACCCCACACCAACAATCAGCATCACCATTGATGATGGCTCTAGCCTGGCAGTGGTGGTGCACGCCTTTAATCCTAGCACTTGGGAGGCAGAGGCAGGCCGATCTCTGGATCTCTGTTGAGTTCAAGGCCAGCCTGGTCTACAAGAGCTAGTCCGGGACAGGCACCAAAGCTACAGAGAAACCCTGTCTCGAAAAAAAAACAAAAACCAAAAAAAAAAAAAAAAAAAAAAAAAAAACCCAGCATCATTGATGATGGCTCTAGAGAAAGCAAAGCGCTTGGTGGTCAGGAGCATTTTTTGTTCAATCCCTAGGATGCACATGGTGGCTCACATCAATCTAAGTCCAGTTCCAGGGGATCTGACGCCCTCTTCTGATCTGTGTGCACTATATTCATGTGGTACACAGACACAAGCAACGCCCCCACACGCAATTTTAAAACAAAAACTCAAACAATCAACAGAGATGGTGAAGAAACAGAAGCCAGGTTTTGGTGGCACAGCCTGTCGTCCCATAGCATCCAGAGGCACATAAATAAAAGCCAATCATTTCGAAGATGGCCAGCTCCTTCCAGCTCCTGGAGCTGTGACGTCCTCCATGATCAACTGCAAATAGGAACTCAGCTGAAATAAACCTTTTCCCTTAAAAAAATAAGGAAAATAAAATGCATATACTTCTAGCACTACCTGAAAGAGTGGAACACCTAAAGTACCTGCAGACTGCAAAATCTTGAGAGAAACAAGGAATACTGGCATCAAACAAAGCTAATGCGGTCAGCTGTTCACAAAACCCGCAAACCAGCCGGGCGGTGGTGGCGCGCGCCTTTAATCCCAGCACTCGGGAGGCAGAGGCAGGCGGATCTCTGTGAGTTCGAGACCAGCCTGGTCTACAAGAGCTAGTTCCAGGACAGGCTCCAAAGCCACAGAGAAACCCTGTCTCGAAAAACCAAAATAAATAAATAAATAAACAAACAAACAAATAAATAAACCCCGCAAACCTTTACAGGTGTGTTTCTAACGTGGTGTCAGGGTTACATGGGGGTGGGAGTGGTGGCAGTGGCTCTACTTACTGCTGAGGCACTTAACCAAGGGGATGCCCAGCAGTCACCTGTAATCCTAGCTCCAGGGGATCCAGCACCCTCTTCTGGCCTTCCTAGGCACGTAACACTTTGTTTTGTTTTGTTTTGTTTTGTTTTTTTCCAGACAGGGTTTCTTTGTATATCTCTGGCTTTCCTGGAACTCACTCTGTACACCAGGCTGGCCTCAAACTCAGAGATCTGCCTACCTCTGCCTCCCTGAGTACTGGGATTAAAAGCGTGTGCTACCACTACCTGGCTCACACACACACACACACACACATCTTTGAAACTGACAATCCCAAGAACATGAGAAGTTACCGGGGTTTTTTCGTTGTTGTTGTTTGGTTTTTCAGGACAGAGTTCCACTCTGGCTGTCCTGGCACTCCCTTTGTAGACCAAGCTGGTCTCGAACTCACTGAGATCTGCCTGCCTCTGCCTCCCCAGTGCTGAGATTAAAGTGTGTGCTACCATGCCCAGAGAACATGAGAAATTAAACTCAAGAAAACAACAAAAGGAAAAGCCCATTCTTTGAGAAGGTGGATGAGATTTGATAAAACTCTTGTCAAACTGAAAAAGAGAAGGTTGGCGAGAGGAAGTACTTGCAGCCAAGCCTGGTGCCGGAGTTCAATCCAGGAGACACATGGTGGAAGGAGTACTGATTTCTGAATGTCTGACCTCCAATGCACTCTACGGCACATGTGCACACGCACACACACACCCACACCCACAAATAAAATGCACAAAAAGAAGACAATCTAGAAACCACCAATACCTGTGATAAGAGTACCCACTGATAAAAATCTAAATAAAAGGGACCACACAGGAGTATCATGAACAATACCAGTTCCACATATTTAACAACTTGACTGTAATTAATCAATTCTAAGAAAGAAACAATATATTAAAACTGATACAAGGAGAGGCACAAATTAGTGTGAAAAGGGGTATAGACGGGGATGGTGGAGAGATGGTCCAGCCATTATGAGCACTTGTTCCCAGAAGACCTGGGTTTGGTCCCTATACCCACATGGTAGCTCAGTCATCTGTTACTCCAGGCATGTACATGGTGAGCGTGCATACACACACACACACACACACACACACACACACACAGAGGCAAACATTCATATACATAAAAGGAGGCATGGTTCAGTATTTAAAAGCACTTGCTGCTCCTGCAGAGAACTCAAGAGTTTGGTTCCTCGCACCTACATAACCATCTGTTACTCCAGTTCCGAGGTGTGCAATGTCTTCTTCTGGCCTCTGTTGGTACAGGGAATATACACCATGCACACACCCTCCTCTGTCTAACCTCAGTGTGTGCTCCCCTCTCCTATTCCTATACTCCTTCCAATAAGGTCTCAACCTACTTGTACTTAGCATTTTATCTCCTTATTTGTTTGCTTGCACCCCCCCCCCCCATACACACAGGGTTTCTCTGTAGCTTTAGAGCCTGTTTGGAACTAGTTCTTGTAGACCAGGCCAGCCTCAAACTCAGAGATCCACTTGCCTCTGCCTCCCTGGTGAATTAGAGGTGTGCGCCACCACCAACTGGCTCCTTGTTTGTTTTTTGTTCAGTTTCTCAGTAGCTCCAGCTGGGGCCTTGACCTCCCGCTCCTCTCCTTCTACTTTCTTAGCAGGGAGACCACAGGCCAGGAATAACTGTGTTTGGGGGGCCCAAATTCTTTTGTAATCCAGGCTGCCCCTGAACTTAATTCTCTGGTTTCTGTTTCCCAAATGCTGGGGATTCAGGCCCATACCACCATGCCTGGCTTATTAAGAATAAATCTGCTTTCCCCCTTTTACTTTGACAGTTGTGAGCCACCATGTGTCAATGCATATTTTGAAGATGAGGTCTCATGTAGCTAAGGCTGACCTAGAAGCCAACAGCTGAGTCTGGCCTTCTCCTTTTACTTCGGTGTCGGGACTGCATGCTTGGGCCTCCATGCCTGGTACCCACATACCAAGGAAGACACGAGGGGCTGTAGAGATGAGCTGGATCCAAGTACCCGCATTGGGTAGCTCACACTGTCTCTAATGCCAGCTCCAGGAGACTGGCACCTCTGTCCTCTGCAGGCACCCGCACTCTGGCACACACACAGACAAGCTCACACACATACACACAATCACAACAAAATAAAGAAGCCACGGAGTAGGAGAGGACAGAGACTCAGCAGACGAGGAAGGGAAAGAGGTGTGTATGGGTCTCTTATTATGGGGTGGTAGAGACGCCTCAGAGGGTAACAGCACTTTTGCTACTCAATTATGGGGACATTTTAGACCCAACAAAAAGCTGGATCCCGAAAAATCAAACAGGTTGAATTTCAACCCACCCTGGCCAGAGGCCACACGGTCCCTCCTTTATAGTCCCTGTAAGGACAGAGAAGGTGCTTTCCAGCTTCCGGTCTAGCCAAGAGCCTGAGCCCCAGACACTGCCTGCTGACAAGCTCGGCGCTGGGCCGGGGGTTCTAAGCAGGCCTGGAATTTTCTAGGATTCAGGTATCAGTTTCCTGGTAACTCCCTGAGAACTGAAGTTCCCAAGAGGGAGAGAAGGACATAGAAAAGGAGGGAAGGAGGCAGGAGAGACAGGGAAAGGGACAGAGACCTCGCTAAAGACTGGGAGGTGGTGGCCCACACCTTTAATCCCAGCACTCAGAAGGCTGAGGCAGGTGGATCTCTGAGTTCGAGGCCAGAGAGTGTTAGGACAGGCTCCAAAGCCACACAGAGAAATGTCTCAACAAAAACCTTGAGGCTAAAATGATCAGATTCTGAGATCATGGTAGTGGCCACACCTTTAATCCGTGGCACCCGGGAGTCAGAAGGATCTGAGTGAGAGGCGGACCCCCGCCCCCCCCCCTCCGCCAATCTTAAGGGGCTGGAGAGATGGTTCAGTGGTAATAAGCACTTGTTGCTTTTCCAGAGGACCTGGGTTCAGTTCGCAGCACCCACACTGGGCCATTCGCAAAATTATGGAGACTCTTTGTCCCTCTGCGGCTCCACTGAAGCTCTAGCATGCTGGGAACTAGTTCTTGTAGTTGTTGTTGGCACTGGGTCCTTACACCGGTAAGGAAATAGTCCTGGCCAGGCGAGGTAACAGTGACCTTCAACCCCCACCCCTTTTGCTTGTGATACAATGGGGGGGGGGGGCATACAACAGATGATGGGAAAGTTTTCCAAGAAGTTGTAATTTTTTCTATTAGGGAAAATGTATGAGTGCCGTCTGCACGCCAGAAGAGGGCATCCGATCCCATTACAGATGGCTGAGTCACCACGTGACTGCCTGCGGAAATTGAACTCAGAACCTCTGAGCCATCTCTCCACCCCAGGGAGAGTTCCCTTTCTCTCACCCTAGGCACATGGTCTCACCTGGATTGTGAATATGTACATAAGGGAAAAAACAATAAGGGGAAAAGAAAAAGAAGGGACCTGCGCGATGGTTCGGCTGAAAAGGTGTTTGCTGCCAAGTCTGAGGACTTGCGTTCGAGCCCCAGGATCCACACGGTGCAAGCCGGAACCAGACTCGGACCTCCCTACCGGCCCACCCCTACAAATAAGTGTAATTTAAAACACTAAAAGAACATTTCTAGAAACAGCCCCAGAGAGGGCCCTATGTCCCCCTTTCCACTTGAACACCTGAACACACATAAACACGGCGGTCCCTTTTTCCACTGCGGTTCGGCTGCGGACTCCGGGAGAGCGGTTTGCAAACGCGCAGTTCCGGGAACTTCCGAGTAGCCGACTGCAGAGTCCCCGGCCTCTCAGCCTCCCACCATCGTCTCCACGCCACACTCACCATGGCGCGTTTCCAATCTCCGTGCGCTCCCCTAGGCGTCTCCACCGACCGTGTGCGCAGCGCTGCAGCCGATACACGTTTCCAATCTCCGTGCGCTCCGCTGGGCGCAACCGACCGTAAGCACCCCGCTGCAGCCGACACGGGCAGACACGAGCCGAACAGGGCGGCACCGGAAAGGCGGTTGCCCGCTGTCGATTGGACGACTCCGCTTATACGCAATTCTGATTGGCTCCAGGGAGTCCCTGTTCCTTGATGGACAGGACCAGTACGATACTGATACCGGTGCGATCCAGCGCAGTCCTGCCCAGGCCTGGCTGCTGTCCAGAGGCGTTCCACTGCTGGCTGGGATCTGGGTGCGCCTGTGCACCAGACTGAAGGTAAAGTCTGGAGCAGCTGGAGTTGCGGGCTATCGTTGGTTTCACAGTGGACGTCTGGGGTAAGAGAGGGTGGAAAAGCTACTGTGCCCTAGGTCAAAGAGGAAGTGGCTGTTCGTCTGTTCTTTACCACCTGCAGAACATATCTCAGGTATACCACAAGATATTCCACAGAGGGCTGGAGAGATGGCTCAGTGGTTAAGAGCACTGCCTGCTCTTCCAGAGGTCCTGAGTTCAATTCCCGGCAACCACATGGTGGCTCACAACCATCTGTAAAGAGGTCTGGTGCCCTCTTCTGGCCAGCAGACATGCACACAGACAGAATATTGTATACATAATAAATAAATAAATAAATAAATATTTTTAAAAAAAGATATTCCACAGATAATAATAAGAACAAAAAACAAGTCGTTCTTGACACCTGCAGCTCAGCTAGACGAGCAAACTGTTCTTATAAGAAGCCTGTGGAGGATGGGCCAGCTTTCTTGGCCCGGGGTCTCTTGGTCCTCAGGAGACCTTGTCTCCAAAAAGGACACAAGAAAAGCAGGCGGATCTCTGTGAGTTCGAGACCAGCCTGGTCTACAAGAGCTAGTTCCAGGACAGGCTCCAAAACCACACGGAAAATTGGGTGTGATGGCACACACAACTTGGCACTGTTGTGCCTGAGTCCTAGGAACCCTCAAGAAGACCACCACGGAGCCACACTTCCAAATGCAAAAACAAGGTTTCGTTTATTAAGTACGGGCTAGCACGGGTCCTCAGTCTCACAGACACAGCAGATGGAGGGAGAAGGACCCCGTTTACTATTGTAAAGGGTTTATAAAGACAAAAACCATAAAACAGTCACAAGTTTCAGTATCAAAATACAAAATTACGTATCCTATATCATAACTGGCTAAAGATTGGGTAAAGCTCAGCTGTTAGTTCTTGATAGGCTATTAATATCGAAGGAGGATAGCAACAGTCCTGGTTATGTCCTCCAGACATCTGCTGACCCTGTGCTAACTGCAGAGGCTGCTTTAAATATTGCCCAGCCGATAAGGAAGTTGGGTGGTCAACATTCTCTGTATGACTACGGGTGGGGGAAAGGGTGCAGTCAGCAACTTGTGTATACGTTTCTCCATTAGCTAATACTTACCCTAAAGAGGGTCCTACAGCCTTCAGCTTTTCCTGGAGTGTAGTTCAAGGTTCCAAAAGGGCCCAACACAGAAATGGAGTCTTTTCCAGCTTTTAGCACCCGGCACTGGGGAGACAGGAGGATTAGGAGTTCAAGGCCAACAAGGGCTACAGTGAAACTGTTTGGGTTAAGGCTATGGAACTTTCTATCCAAAGAGAAACCTGTTGGGGGCCAGGCCAATCTGAGGCTTTCTCAGAGGCCCTGATTAAAAGACAAAGAGAAACGCTACTTTTGTGTCCTGGCCAGAGCCTCTAGGGAGTCAAGGTTTCAGCCAACCTGCCCTCCCTCCCAGAGGTGTAGTTACACCACTGTGTGCTGGGTCCCTTTGTGCACGAGCAAGGAACTTAGGACCGTGAGGGGTGCACCCACACACTGAGACAATGGGAATGTTCTATCAGGAACTCACCAAGGCTAGCTGTACTGGATCTGAAAAAGCATGGGATAAAACCGGACTCGCTGAACATAGCGGACAATGAGGACTACTGAGACCTCAAGAACAGTGGCACTGGGTTTTGATCCTGCTGCACATATTGGCTTTGTGGGAGCCTAGACTGTTTGGATGTTCACCTTACTAGCTAGACCTGGAAGGAGGTGGGAGGTCCTTGGACTCCCCACAGGGCAGGGAACCCTGACTGCTCTTCAGGCTGAGAGAGGGGGAGTTGATTGGGGGAGGGGGAGGGATGTGGGAGGCAGAGGCGGGGAAGAGACAGAAATCTTTAATAAATAAATAAATAAATAATTGAAAAAAAAAGAAATGCAGACATGGATAGGCATGTCATGCAGAGTGAAGTTGGATATTTATTTAGTGGGTTATGGAAGGGAAGGGGAGAAGGGGGAAGAGCAGAGAGAGAGACAAGCAGAGGGGGGTTGGGGTGATGTGGGGAGTAGGGAGAGACAGAAGCTGCCTCTGAGAGAGAGAGAGAGAGAGAGAGAGAGAGAGAGAGAGAGAGAGAGAGAGAAGGGAAGGACTCAGGCTGGAAGCTGAAGATGAGCTTGCAGTGGAGGGGAGGAGGGAGTGGGCATGGCTTGTCTCTTAAAGGGACAGCACAGACCCTTATACCCAGGTGACATCAGCCAGGTCAGTTTTTCTGTCCAGAGCCTCACAGTCTACCTGAGTCTTTTAGGTCATTAAGCTTTCATTCCAGAACCTAACAACAGATCAGAAGATGGTACGATGCATTCCCCACTGGCTACTTCCTGTGAAGGTTAGTGGAGACAGTGGTCTCCAGAAGCTAAGGGGGCATAGGTCCAGTTGACTTCTCTTAGCAGGATGAAAGCTTTAACTTGATTGGCTAGGCTGCTTTGCCATGGTGCTATCTTAGAGGAACTAATGAAAAATCATCTTTAGGGCCCTGTGCTAGAGACCAGCTCTGTGGGGTTCAGGTCCCAAAGATGTGTGGGGGTGGGGAACGAACAACTGACAGGATCTGAGGGTAAATAAATATGGCTTCCCGAGTAGCTTATTGAAAAAAGATTATACCTTTTTTACTCTGGTGGCACTGAGATTCAGTGGGAAAACTAGCTGAGGTGTGGCTTGTCCTCAGGGCTTGAGGAAGCCAGCCTTGACCTTGACAATAGGTAGCTTGGGAGGGCGTGACAGAAGGGTCACAAGTTCCTCTTCCAGAGATAAACAGGTCTCTTTTTCTTTTAGCAAGCAGGAACTTTCCTCAAGTTTAAAAGTGAGCAAAGACGGGGCTAGGCAAATATTACTGAGAACCTGAGTAGACCTTAAGAATTTAAAAATCAGCCGGGCAGTGGTGGCGCACGCCTTTAATCCCAGCACCTGGGAGGCAGAGGCAGGCGGATCTCTGTGAGTTCGAGGTCAGTCTGGTCTGCAGAGACAGTGCCGGGACAGCCAAGGCTCCACAAAGAAACCCTGTCTCAATAAACAAAAACAAAAAACAAAAAATTATCAAATCAAAATAGCTATCAACTCCAATAAATGGACAGTGTTCTATGTCCTGCAGCACCACATACTCAGCGATGTTTTAATTCTTTATGTAAGAATAAAAAAGTACATCTACCTCAAAAAAAGAAATTTAAAAATCTTGATTATTAAATATACCTTATTTACCAAATTAAGTTGCTTGTCTAGATTTACTAGCTGCTTGGTGTTAACTTGTGTGGTAATAGGCAGAGTTACCACAGTACCTAGTTCTATGGTGGTAGAAATTTTTTACAAAGAATTACTTTGTTTCAAGAGACAGCCATTGTATACATTTTCATCCTTTATTAAAGTATAAGGAGACTCCCATGAACACATAGTGAGAATCATTCAAAATGAAAGAAAGCCAATTATGGTGGCACATGCCAGTAGGATTTGCTGGAGGAGGTGGAGGGGGGGGGGGATCAGGGAGTTCAAGGCCAGCCTGGGCTACACATTTAGCCAGGTGTGGTGGTGCCTGCCTTTAATCCCAGCACTTGGGAGGCAGAGGCAGGTGGCTCTCTCTGAGTTCGAGGTTCCAGGACAGGCTCCAAAGCGAGAGAGAGAGAGAGAGAGAGAGAGAGAGAGAGAGAGAGAGAGAGAGAGAGAGAGAGACCCTGTCCTCTCCCAACCCCTCCCCTTCTGCTGAGGGAAGTGGATATCCCACCTCCTCCAGCCTGTGCTCTTTTTCTTTCTGGTAACTATGTTCTCTCTCTCCCCGCCCTTTTCTTTCCTCTCTCTCCTTCTCTCTCTGTGCCTTTCTCTCTTCTTCCCCCTTCTCCCCTTCCCCCCTTTCCTTTCCCCTCCATAACCCACTAAATAAACTTGCCTCTCTGCATGATGTATCTGTCTCTCACCAGCCACTGCTCCTGGTGGGACTGGCTGCCCTGCCGCTGACCCCCCCCCCAGGTCTCTCACCTGCTGCCTCCCACTTACCTGGGGCCAACAGAGGACTCGATTGGTGGGACCTGGCTGACCTTCATGGCCCACTGCTGTCCCTCGGGTAACTGCTAACTGCACATTATCCAAAACATTACACCACCCCAGCTGAGCTTTGGGGCTACTCTATCACTCCAATACGTTGGACACATGGAAAGTTTGAGTTTGCAAACTTGTGTAAGAATAAAGGCTCTTTGTTTTTACATACAGTACTCTGTCTCCTAGTTGCTTTTTGGGGAACTCTGTGATCTGGGCATAAAAAGAGTTTGTTCCCTTGGGATGAGGCTAGAAAATATTATGTGTATTAGTATATAATTAATGTGCTAGTATAGTATATGTATATTTCTTTTCTTTTTTTTTCTCTTTTGGACAGGGTCTCACTGTGTAGCCCTAACTGTCCTGGAACTTGCTCTGTAGACCAGGCTGTCCTCGAACTCACAGAGATTCACCTGCCTCTGCCTCCCAAGTGCTGGAATTAAAGGCATTCGCCACCACTGCCTGGCGTATTGTTATGTATATTAGTATATGGCTCAGGCAATATTGAAATTACAGTCTGGGATATTACATTGCAATACAAATGCATGGACTGACTAGATATAAATTATTGGTGGGTATTGCTGATGGATTGGGGAAGTTAAATTCATTTAATCAACGTAAGAATGCAAGCTCCTCCGTGCTGTAATGTTTATATTGATTGTTTGATTTTGTTATGTTTAATAGTCTGGGGGAAAGATCTGACAATCAAGAAACGATTCAACATTGAGAAGCTGTATTCAATATTGTGCTACAATATACAGTTAAATAAAAAGGGGAAATGAGGATTTCTTGAACTATGCCAGGCCAGGACAACGCCCTTGCCAGACGTCCCTTGAGAACCAGAGGATGTTTGCAGAATTTTGGCAGAATGCTGCCTTCACACTCCAACAAATATTTATTGACCAGCTGTCATGTTCTTTGGATTTCTTTTGGGAAAAGGCTCAATCAGTAACATATAAAAAGCAGTTCTTTGTCCAGTAAGAAAGAAGCAGTCATGACAGATCGGT